TGGTATTTATATGTTTCTGATAAGTTTATGTAGACATAAAATAGATTCGAACTGTTCAGTTCACTTCTTTTCTTCGTATTTAACAGTATACTTGAATCATCGATACTGTTATTGTTAGTGCTTGTTTATTTGCATTGAAACAATTGGAGAAAACTTATGGAGTCACTTTAGTGCATCATACTACTCTTAATGAATGTATTTTATGTTGTTTATTCTTCCTATTTTGGTTTTCTAGTGTTTACAAGTGCGTGAAGTTCCTGTGTGTTCTGTTTCTGCAATACTGAAACAAATCAATTGTGCATCAGTTCTAGGTAAGTTTTATGTCACGTTTTTCCTAGAAACAGATCTATCCAATTCTATAAGTATTTATGTCCTTAATTTAATTTTATTATTACTTTTTACTATTTTGTATATTTGTAGATGAATATCGTTTCTTGGCTGGGACAGATGAAGGACTTTATATTGTTGATATTAGACAAAATAGTAAGTTGTTTTTGTTTTGTTAAAAAAAAGAACAGAAGTAATGCGCCTTATTAGAATTGAACCACCTCGTCACTAACAGTAATGTTAAATGTTTGTAAGTCTACCGTAAGCCTACGCCGATCGAGGTGATTTTGAAATATGCTTCGCGTCCCTATCGCTTGCCTATTATAATGTTTGCGATGGATAGTATCAGAGCAGATTGGGCGTAGACTGGGCTGGCTGGCAAAATAAAAGATAAAATCATTTGTTAAAACTATTGATTATCAGAGTAAGTCTTTTTGGGAGTTACTGACTTACTCACTGAATTCTACTAGGTAATTGTGATACCTGATTGTAGATTTAAGTGAAATGATTCAAAATCGATTACACTGGCGCAATTACGCAAATAAATAAGTGATCTCCAGTAAATTGATCATTTTTCCCCCAAATAATTAGTAATTTTTCTTACTTTTCTCTTATTACTGCCCCAATGATCTCATTTATCGTCAAATTACTGAGTAAAAAAAAAACTAGATATCCACTATGAAAAGTTAGTCAAATTGATTGATAAATGCGTATAGTTGGTTTTCTCTACAGGCTTCACTTAGTTCAATTTAGTAATAATTTTAATGTTTGTAAACATTGGCAATTTCATTTCTGTCCTTGCTAGTAATAACATAAATGGCAGATAAAAATCAGTATTAATAAATCATATATTGATTGTAATTATAATGTGTTTTTGAATCATCACAAAAACTGGTCCAAAATCAACTTGTCCATTGGTATAGTGTTTGCTTAGTTTAGTTTATGTGAATTAATTATTTTTACTGTGAATAGTATTATTAAACTTTGCATTGTATTTATATCAAAATAAATGTACTTTTATGTATTCAGTTTTCTTGTTATCTTGTTGATGTTGTTGATGTGTTAATTTCATTTAAATGATTGTCTTTTATTTGTAATTTAGTCAATACACGTATAGGTTCGCGTAAGCCAGTTTATCAAGTTGAAGCATTAGCCGAAGAACTTCAGTTGGCTGTTGTTATTCAAGGTAAGTATATATATTTATTAACTGAATGTTGATCGACTTTGTTGAGTGATCGTTTTCCCATCTCTTATCATGAGAATATTTCTTTGTTGAAATTAATATGAATAAAATGTTTGTGGTTATTTATTCGTCAATTTAAAAACAAAACTCAAAATACTAATATGGGAATGTGTAGTATTTTCAAGCAATCAGTCAGTGAAGTACAATGAAGTTAATCTGTTGCATTAGTGATTGTTAAGTTTGCACAACATTAATAATTCCTTACTACTTCTGAGACTGAATTATACTTTTAATGCTATGCAAACAACACCTAAGAGATTTTTTGTCACTGTTGTCTATGTTGCACATTTTCTAACCTCAAAACATGTAAATTTTAGTCTCATAAGTAACTAAATGCTTTTGTATTATATTATTACAAAATTGAATTTTGTGTTCTAGTCAACTATTAAACTATCGAAATATATATTTCTGTGATATTTTTTATAAATTTTAAGAATCGTAACTTAAAATTATTATAACATCTCTTTGAGTGTAAATTACTTACTTACGCCTTTCACCCCCAATGGAGCATAGACCACCAACCAATATTCTTCAGTCTACTCTGTCCTGGGCTTCCCTTTACAGATCTGTCCAATTTTTATTAATTCTTCTCATATCTTTCTCTGTTTCTCGGCGTAATGTGTTTCTTGGCTTTCCTCTTTTCCTTTTACCTTGAGGGTTTCTAGTGAGTGCTTGTCTTGTGACGCAGTTGGGTGCTTTCTGCAATGTGTGTCTTATCCACCTCCAGCGCTCCATCCTGATTTCTTCCTCCGCTGGAATATCGTTGGATCTGTCCCGCAGTAGGTTGCTGCTGATAGTTTCTGTCCAACAAATCCGAAGTATGTAGTTTAGACAGCGATTAATGAATATTTGCATCTTCTGAATAGTGGCTTTGGTAGTTCTCTAAGTTTCCGCCCATACAGTAGAACTATCTTGACATTTGTATCGAAAATTCTGACTTTGATGTTTGTTGTAAGTTATTCGGAGTTCCAGATGTTGTTCAATTGTAGAAATGCAACCCTTGCTTTCCCTATCCGCAACCTAATATCTGAATGTGACCCGCCTTTCTCGTTGATGATGCTACCCAGATAGGTAAAGGATTTTACGTCCTCCAAGGCATCTCCATCAAGAGTGATTTTGTTGGCGCATGTTCTGTTGCATCGGAGAATCCTGCTTTTCGCTTTATGTTGAGACCTTCTGCGGCTGTAAATAGATTATTTGTATTACAGTTAGCGTAACGTATGAGCATCGTATGCTCATGAACTAACTAGACTAGCATTGTTGTTTTTTTTGCTATCAATACTGTACGAACTATTTCTTTTGATCAAGCTAATAAGTTATTTTATTTATGTTATCTAAAAAATATGAGTACTAAATTCACAATTATACAATTCTCTGATGATATCTTGTTCACCTAAATTCAAAAATCATCTAAATATTCTTGTGTTATTCATGAAGCAATATGCACTAACAGTATAAAGCAATAGCCAATTCACTTTTTATTGTTGCCTAATTCATCTGTTTTTCGTCACTGAAGTCAGTAAGCTTTCTATCATAGGAATTGATTGACTAGTCAAAACAAATTCATGTCATTTTCATTCCTTGTAGCATATTTCTATGTTCATTATGATATGGTATTTGGAACTTGATTTATATGCATTTACGAAACACTTAGTATAAATATGCATTATTTACATTTTTTTTTAACACATTATCATAAGTCATTCAAACTATGCTAATTTTGTATGTTTCCATAAATAGCTTCGATATATACTTCAATTGAGCAATCAATGAATTGTTTTAACGATTTTAATTTTTGGATTTCTGATTTTTTAGGTAAACAACGATTCCTAAAATTAATCCTGGTTGGATCATTTGAAGGAATGAATTTAAAACCGATCAAAATTACTGAACCGAAATTATGCACTCGATTCACTTGTTCAATGAGTCGTAACAATACAGTTTGTTTGATTTGTGTGGCTAGTAATCGTTCATTGTTCATTTTTGAGATTGCACGTGTACAAGGAAGACATAAACGTTTAAAAGAAATATCATGTCCGTATATTGTTCAGTCTATCAATTTTGTTCGAGATGGTGATTGGATATGTGTTGGTTCAACTAATTATTTTGCCATGTTTAGCATATGGACTGATGGACCTGCTCAAGGTAGGAAAATCTGATACAATATATTGTCAACTTAATAGTAGTAGCAACACTATCATGATATTCAATGCTATATGTCATTATAATGTAATTGGCCACCTAACTTTACTCTTTCAATCATTTTTATCGTGTTTTCTCTCGGGTATGTTGGGAAACTTGTGTCGTCCATCAAAAAAGGTATATGAATACGTCGTTACTACTTCACAAAGGTAGTGCGGTTTTCTCCGCAGTCATCGATCGGATCAAAATTTAGGTCTCCATGGCTCACTAGCTAAGACGTCCGACTGATAACCACTAGGTTCTAACCTCGTACTTAAAATGTAGTTCATATCCAAGTCTCTCGTGGATGAGTAAGTTTACTTATTTTGTCTTCGTATCTACATAAAAACGGGATTGTCATGGAAACTTATTTAGTTTTCGTCAGTTGAATTTGCACAAATGTTACCAAACGTTTAATAGAAATATGGTTTACCAGGGTTCTGGGTACCCGTTTGGTTGCGCTACTAGGTTCACCTATATTGTTCAGATTGTCATGTTAAAGCTTGGACAGTACTTGGTTCTCCTGAAAACTAATGTACTATTACCCTCGGTCACAAGGGTATATTTATCTAGAAGGACTATGCGTTCTCTGGCCCGGATCTGGTGTGGAAAGTCCTCTTTCCTCCTTTAAATACTCTCACGTGGCTATGCGTATATAGTTACTGCCAAGGAAATCACACTCAATGTGTTTTCGCTGTTGCATGTTGTTTACAAAGTCGAAAAAAACGAGTGTCCGGCCCTTAAACCTAGCTGAAGGATACGGCGTATTTGTCGAGGGGAACTGGAAAGCCTTGATTCTAACCCAATGGTTACATGAACTCCAGGATTCTGAGGCATCAAATGTGTGAATATATTGTTGGTTGCCGGCCGCCATTGTTTTACATGTCCTAACGTTGTTCCACTATATTGTGAATTAGATCTTTTTCGTTAAGGGCTCAGGTAGTGATCTCCTAATATCGTAGTATTTTAGTCCACACATAAATTCAGTTGTGTTGCGCATATATATTTTTATACTCCTTTGTACCAATGCTTATGTGCTTGAATAACTAACAGATATGAGCTATTTTACGACTCGTAAATTCATAATAAAATCATTTTTTCCAAAATTTTCTTTTTCCAAGTTTTATTGCGTGGAGACCTAATTGACCTTGATTCAAGTCTAACATTCTTCCAACACTCACCTTCAGAAGCTCATTGTGCTGTTCAGCTGGATGATGATGAATTTTTGTTAGCTTTTGAAAGTAAGCGCAAAATATTCTCCTTTATTCGATGCTTTTCATTTTTGGTCATTTGAACATAACCCCGACATATTGTAACAACTAAATTATTTCCCTATTTATTTGTTTTTGTTTTATAGATTGTGGAGTCTATATAAATAGTAGTCATAAAAGAACACGACCAGATAATCTTATGTGGCCTGCTAAACTTATTTCTGGTACTGCTGTCAGCTTTTCCTATCCGTATTTATATGTATTTACAGAGGCTGGATTAGTTGTTTTTAATGCTGTTACTGGTTATTGGGTATCAACGCTTAGTTCTTGTCGTGTTCAACCGTTAAGTATGGACGCACATTTATGCATTGCACACCTATCGGCAGTATCTATTTCAAACTCATCGTCTCGCAAATCAGCATTTGCTAATATCATAGATCCTTCAACCGGTAATAATGCCACACCCGCCCCACCAAGCATTTCTCCAAGCGATTTAATTGCTGGCCAACAACAACAGCAACTTTTACGCTTGATCCACTTACCTCAGTCATCCGACTACAAAGAACCATCTAAACAATTGTCAGCTTTACGAAGTAGGCGATTACAAATGCCTCAGTCTAGTATATTTGGTGTTACAGGGCGCATGCGCGTAAGTCTCAGTGTTTTTGATAAAATAAATAATTGCTTGTTACTACTAATATTAATTTATGCATCACGTAATTTTACGAATATGTAACTACTGAGTAATACACCAACGTTTCTGGCTGAACCAATACCGTTGCTTTATATAAAAAAACATTAAAATATTTATATACACTTAACTTCAAAGAATATGATGTAAGATAAGTGTAATGACGTTCTTTACATAAATGTGGATCGTTATTGGTTAATATTATTCCATACAACTCACTCTATACTCAATATATGGTTCAATAGGGTGTCGCAATTTTACCTAAACTCCATAAACGAAGTAAGCAGAGGTTCAAATCAGCAACGTAATGATTAAGGCTGAATACTTGGACGATGAGAGCATTTCTTCACATCTAAGTTTTATAATTATCTATCATATTAAAGATAGGTCAGTTGAATAGGTTTCAAACATAATGGAGTGTATTTTGCAACTGTATGTTTAAAACTAGACTGTTTAGTAACACTAAAAATCGCTTTTTATATCTAGACACTTATTATCTTAAAGTATAAATGCAACCAATAAAAACTCTTCAAAGTATTTCTTTTTTTTTCGGAATCATCATTGTAGACATGTTACTAATATGTAAAGCTCTACTTCTTTTCTTTTTTTATTACGTTCATCATTACTAGCTTGTGAAATCATCGATCCAACAGATAGACTGAATTTTGTTTGACATTGTCCTGAACTGTCGAATTACCTAAACTAAATTAACCATCACTAGAGTTATTTTGTACTGTTTTGTCTATTGACCAGTAGGTATTTTCGCAATCAGTCTATTATATTTACTTATCATAATCTTTACAAGAAATTTTGATACTAAATAAATAACCTGAGGTCTAATCGACATTTAAACTGACAGCATTTTTTCATATGAGTTAGATATGACAACTAAATGTATGAATGCCAAACTGATAAGTCAATTCATTTCAATATATCTACTGTTGTAAAAAGTCTTGTTGCATTTTTGGTTAAGTGTATGTTAAAGTATAAGAATAAAATTATAAGGTTGTTAATAATATATTATTTTGATCTCTTACATTTTATTCGTAGAAATCTAGTCGTTTCAATTTGTACTCTCTTGTGGAAGATGGTTTATCACGTACTACCCATGGGATTAGTCCTGAAAGGTTAAAAAATTCCCGTTCTCAGTCACAACATCGAACTTTACAACCATCTGTTCAGTCAACCGTACCAATTAATCCAGTGGGTGGAACTTCTCGTATGTCACACCTGATTTCAGGTCCTTCAGATTTTCGGCATATTTCGCATATGGGACCACAAATAACAGGTGCTCCTCTTCTGGATCTCACTCCTACCCCTGGGGAATCACCTCTTACGGAGGCTGAGCGAATTGCAAGACTCAAGTCTGTAGTCGAAGAAAAATCTGGTATTTTACCCAATTGTGGTGGTGACGGTCATCTCATAGGTTCTTCACCAAAAAACAACCCCAATATTCCACTTCATCTTCCTTTTTCTGACCCAAATAATTCACCAGGTGGTTTTGATCATAATGCTTCATTGACTCAAATTTCGACGATGACAAAATCTCAGTCTGTAAGTTATATATTAACTTTGAAATTTTATTGCTGTACTTGTTTTATGTAGTGTGAAAATGATTATTCATAGTCGATTCTAGTTACCGATTCACCAACAAGATATATTTAGTTGATTTATAAAGCTCCAAAGTACAATTTATCTAAATAAACGCATAAAGTAAAATTTTAATGAAGTGATTTTAAGCATGTTTCCACACTGTTACACTTTGACAAATAACATGTCGAATTGTTTGACATATTGAAATAAATATAAAACTTATTCGCGATAAAACAGTCCAGTCAGTCAGATGCAACGTAGAACTTTGTACATAAGTACATCAGTTCATGTTGCCATACCACATCAGCACAGAGATGTAATTGTCAATTCAAATCCAATAGTAGAAGAGGTAGTAAAGGTATTAGAAGTAATCGGAGAGGTTAGGATGAGAAGATATTATTCATGAAGTATGAATAATATCTTCTCATCCTAACCTCTCCGATAAAACAGTTAGAAGTTTTTCGTTATTAAAATGTAATCAGACTTCCCAATTACAGTATAAACTAATTTTCAGGAGAAATCCATATTTATGTATATGATCCTGCTTTAGTTGAGTATATTAAATATTTTAATATACAATTTTCGGTTGCTTTCTTTCATTCACTTTGTTATGTGACTTATTGAGATAGTACAAGCCTTTGTAAATGATCTCTGAGTTATACTTCATCTGAATGGTACGAATATTATTTAACCGCCCAAACTGTAGCAAGAAGGAAATTCGAAACCATACGGTTCAATTCAAAGGTTTAATTACACTCAGTTGCTTCTTTACTTAAGCCTTTTTGATAACTAATCTCCAAGAAATTATTTACTCATAAACATCTATTAATCCTGGCGAAAATTTTACACTAATTTACCATGTGGTTACATTGCTTTCGATAGATTCTCATTAGGGATGAATATTCTGTAAAATACTATTTTGCATGAGACACTGAATATTTGCTACAACTTAGCAATTTACAATTTTGTTCTTATCATTGGCCTAATTTCAAAATAGTTTCATCAATTAACATTTGTGCTGTTTGAGTAGTGTTCAACCGTCTGAACCATCATATCAATTGCTTCATGAGAATGATTCCAACAAAATCTGAGCGCCTACTTATCTTCCTTTACCAACAATAAGGCGTTTTAAAGTACGGGGTTGGCACATCAAAAACTTTATTGAAAGCTCGTTTGCAATTAACTAACTAATATACATGCATATTGCACGGCTGTACGTTTTAAAAAAAACTTCATGTCATCTTATCCAGACGCTGCTTAGTCAAGACAACGATACATCTGTTTTTACCGGTTTGTCTGTTACGAATGCACGTGACCACGTCATTTGATATGCTTGAACTATTACGAGTTTACCTTAGTCGGAAAACGAGAGCGAGGATCGAGGATCCGGGTACACGACAGGCTACTCTAATTCGATTGCCCCAAACCCCCATCGTGTAAAAGGAGAAAACTTGTTATAAAGTAGAACCTGTGTTCTACAACCATCAAGAAAGTACAAGGTCCGAGTCTAGAAGTGGATGAGGATCCCGGACTAGTGATACGGGTCCGGGTCATAAAGCGTTACAGACAATGCGTATTTATACAGTTAGGTCAAATAGGAAACAGCATTGAAGTCTGTGACATTGACAGTTAAGGCGACCAATAGGAAGCGACACTAATAGCTAGGACGACCATAATATTGACCAATAGGATTAGACTTACAAAAATAATTCTCTTAGGATATGTGATGAATATCCTAACGTTGTCATTTTGCTTTTTCGCTATACAATTAAAATTTTATAAATTAGATTTGTGTGTAAAACGTCCAAATTAGGCTTTTTGTATTCATTGAAATATCTTTTGTAACTTCACAGGATTTATCTGCGTTTATAACTTAGTGTCCGTAAGGTGGTTATTTTGATTGATTATTTTCTCTTCCATTCATTGTATTTTTGATTGATTAACTATTGATTTTATATTCAGTATAAATCTTTGTGCGACATAAAACAAGTGCTAATTACTAATGTCCAATAATTCTAATGTTGTTGATTATGTCATAACAAAGAGCATGCTTATTGGCTACCATATACATACGCATATGCTTCACTACATTTGGTTTGGTTTTTTTTACTCATCTCATGCAATGAAAATAGCCAATTTGCGCTTATTTATCACATACACAATCCATGGCCTGAAGTGTAATTAAATCGCTTGTAGTTAACTGATTTTATATTAGAAACCAAAAACAAATCAGAAAAAGCACTTTTTCCGAAATTCTTAACTTCTTAAACTCTATACAATGATATCAGTTGGTATTCGCATTTTTACTGTAGATTTTTTTCTGTTAAATTAATTTCAATAAACTGATTATGGATGATTCGTGTGTGTGTATATTTTAGTCTGTTTATTTTGTGTGTGTCTGTTCAAGTACTTTTATCTAAAAAAACACAATATCTATGAAAGTTATTCCTCATTGCAAAACATTTCATGATCTGTGAATTAAATTAACTACGACAAGTAAACTAGTTTGCACAATATTTTGAAATTATTTCATTTCTTTCTTATTTATCAATATATACACTATCTTATATAGGACTTAACGAAAAAATAACTTTAAGCTTACTTCAAAAGTAAGAAATAAAACTTTGTCTGATAATATGCGTTTTATTGTGGAATCGACGCGTAAATTTATGAACTACTCAACCTATGAGACTGAAAAGCTGAAGTAGATTAGAAAATCTTTACTGAATGGCTTAAAAGGTAGACAATTTAGGCCAGGAAATCACAATTCCATAAAATCTAACCACAATATTTATCCTTTGCTAACTATTAACCAGTTAATTAACAATTATGTTATTTTAGCAAGATAATCCACCGTTATTGCTTTGAGAACACATCACTTTACACAGTTACTGTGTGCTACAAGCACTTGAAAAAAAAAATGCACATTTGCTTTCCGCACATGTTTGATTAGCATTCTTTTTTGATCGATTTTGTAAGGATACTTAATCATATTTGTGTGTGTGTGTGTGTTTTTTAAAACATCTAATCTGCATTAGTGTAGAGATTTGATTCGTTCTTAGACACTCATAAACTTTGTTCTAATAGCTTCGTTAATTTGTCCTCTTTTTCTCTTTAAGCTCATAAATAAATGATGTTTTTTTTGTGTTGGTTTCCGATGTATCATGCCTCGTGAATACTATATCCTCTTTATTTATTTATGTAATTTCAGATGATTATAAACATCTCATTAAATAGATTATCATTTATGACGTTATTATTTTCCAATGTCACCTTGTCACATTAATAATAATAATAATAATAATAATAATTTTTAACAAGCAATGTTGAACTTGATATATGATAAATTGAAATTTATTTGGTGTTATTTGTTTACTGATGTTCTGTTATTAAACATAGTGTTGTATTATGTTGTTATCATTCTAGTTATTGATTTCGTGTTAGTTAAACTTCAATTCAAGAGTCAGATGATTATACAATGTTTTATATATATATATATATATATATATATATATATATATCGTACACGTTTTTCTGTTTACTGTCAGACAATAGTTTATTTATTTTATAATTTCATTAAATTATTCTTATCAATTCTTTTCTCATCTATTCCTTAGATAATCATCTACTTCCATATCTTGGCCATAAATCATACTTTGTTATCATTGTTAAATTAGGTGTAGTGCGCAAAAATGTTGATTTTTCATATTTGTTATTTTTTTCGGTAACAGTTCAATGATTATAGACATAGAACATATACTCTTGTGTCAGTTATTATTTTATCAATGTTAAAGTGAAGTTGATCTTTTTCTGCTTAATTTTGTTCGATTTATAGTTGAACATCCATTCGGCTTTGTTTAAAGTTTATACGTTTTTTTTGCACTGTCTACAACAAATAAATTTTAAAATGTGTAATACAGTCAAAAAGTAGCATGATATCATTTTCATTAACTCACTAACTATTAATATGGTTTGATTTGTCTATAAGCTATATTCAATTTCACTGTGGATAATTTATACTATTCAATTAAATTCTAATACCAATGTTTATTTGATCATCTATTAATTATTTAACGCTGTATATTAAGGAGATAAAAGAGTTTATAATCTAAGGCTTTCAGGAACCACTTTATCTTTAATAATTTTATCTCGTTCACTTTCACTCTATCAAAAAAAACTTAGATAATTATACATATACATTATCTACCCACTCCTAACTAGATGAATTAAAGTATATCAGCCAGTAAGTGAAGTATGCAAATGAAATTGTGTCATTGAAAACTGGTTACTCATAAGTAGTATAATAGAATATGCAAATTTCGCAACCAGGTTGTGCGATTTTTATTTGTCTTCAGGAAAAATGGTTTCGTTGTTTTCCATAAATGTTATCTCACTTGTACCATAGTCTCGATGAGACAATGTATTCAGCATAGTTTTTAACTTTTGTACTCACTTCTTAGTTTTTATGAACAAAATTTCCTAAAAACTTTCATAAAATAGAGTCATAGAGTGCGATAAATTCGATTTCTTCATATTTTTAAAGAATTTCAGAAAATGCGTTATTATTTAGGAAATAAATATTAACTTTTGTGAAGTCAAGTTACACGTAGTATTATTTTTTAAAAGAGAAAAATACATTAATTATGCTTACTCTTATTCTCATTTTCTTTCTATTTTTACTGATTATTATTTTAGCGACAGTCAGCTCCATTAACACACAGATTAAGTTTAACTGATCTAGAATATAATGAAGATCAAAATTATATAGATCAAAAACTTTCTTTTAGTGTTACACCCGGTCAATCCCAACGTGTTCGTTCTTCATCGTTACGTCCTAGTGTAAAAAATATACTTTTCAATTTCGGTGATATGGCTAGCATGTATAATAAGTATTCTTCTTCCAGATCGGAATCTTATAAACGTCATAGTGATGCATCATCGCATCAAAGTGTCACATCATCGATAGAGAAAAACAATGAAACTGTCGCTACACCAACTGCTTTTCCTTCACTTCGACTTTCAAATTCTCCAAGTATTCAAGATACAGTGATGGCATTATTTTCAAAGGTATGCAATATTATTAAATTATGGTTGTTGTGTTTCTGTGCGAAAATTTAAAGCTTAGTCGATATATCTGGTGTTTATTTTTATCAGGAGACTCCAAATTTCATAGGATCAATGCAGTTGTAGGTGTTTATTAGCATTAAATTGTTTTTAAATTTAATAAGGAGCATTTACTCATATGGAATTAAAAACTAGCAATTTAGGTATTATTTTAAAAGTTGTAATACCTAATATTTTTGAATTATGAATGAGTAGTATACAGCAATAACATCTATCTACGTTATGTTACAGGGTTTGTTTACTCTTTGGTGATTCAGTGCACACTAAGCTAAGTTTCTCTTTCCTATATTCTACCCATCTCTGCTCTTAAGCGTAATTTAGGATGTATGCTCACGAGTAACTGCGTAAGTGGTACCAAAATAAATCAGTAAGCGGTGTTTATTTGAACAGTTTTGAAGGGAAATGTAGCCAGTTTAATGGGTATGGATTGTGATTTTATATTTTTGAGTAAACGTTATCTTTATGGTGATAAGCAGTTAGTAATGTATATCCTGACGAATAAATATAGAGCTCGGTACTCAAACGATCATCTATAGAATAAATAACCGGCTTCTGAAATTCCATTATCTGAACTGTTAAGCTTTGGTTTCCTGTGGACCGTTACAATATTTTTGTTCTGAATATACACAGTGCTAAATATACCGAATCTTCTAATGATGCGATTAAGATACATGTGAAACCAATTGTTCATAAAACAACAATTTGTCTAAAGAATGGTGCTATTATTAAGAAATATTTATAGATTGATTTACACTCCCCAGCTCTTGAGGTATCAGCGGCGATCAACCCATCTGTATCTCTCTAAAGAGAAACGTTTTCTGTAGGATTGACATAGATAGTAATTATAAAATATTGTAGATGGAAGCTGGTAGCTGTTTTTAATGCTAACAGTTTAGCGACAACCGAGATGGGAATTAAGAGCACATAAACATGGAAGCTATTGTATTTAAACAAAGATTCAAAGTGATATAACAGCGATTTTACGATAATACGGTAACTCGATTAGAAGACAAATTAGGGTTTATTATACCACTGGATTGAATGCTTGAACGGTACACACAGCCTAGATCACGTTAAATCAGATACCCTACTCGCAACCAAAAGAGAACCGGAATAATGCTAAATAGTACTTTATTCTATACAATTACAAGCAGTCACTTAGTGAGTACGGGTTAAAAATCAATAACAGTAAAGAAATCACATATTTAATGATCATTTGGCTAAGTACTTGATGTCCATGCTTTCACGACCACACATCATAAGAGATATACAAAACTGGAAATAATTGTTACAAGAATTAAGAGAAAATTATAATGGCAGTAAATGTTATTAGTTTGTATTAAGTGAACTTATCATATTTTTTTTTTATAAAAATTGTGTATGAAATCATCTCAGCAATTGAAACTTTAGATAATTCCAACGTTTTGTTGTCAGGGTTGTAATAATTAAAATCAAAATTATCCATGAATATATAATAACGTTTAACAATCAAATTGATCGCTAAGATTATTTCAAATATATAATCTTCATGAACCATGTATTCTGTATACTTGGCACCCAAATATTGATCGATATTTTCCCTAATATTTCTATTGGTGCATTTTCATAACCTGATTAAACTAATTGAATTGAATTTTGTTTTACTTTTACTTTTCCAGCTTTCTGATGATAGTCCTTCATGTTCTTGATTTTGCAACTGGATCATTTTGATTGCCTTTGGAATGTTATTTATTATTCAACCATAAGGTTCTTCCATTTTTTTCGTTGATTCTCAATTAGTAGCAATTGTCGACATCATGATCAATATTTTGTGCAGGCTGTGATTTTGTGGTAAATGTAACGATAAGAAACTTACCTTCTTTTCACATGATATCACTAAACTTAGCTTCTTCAGTTTCGTTTATTTTTGTTTGTATTCCATCATTGACATTTTGTGCAAATTAATAATAATGCTACGGAAAAAAAACATCTTGCAAACAACCTCTGTATATTATTAAAAGTGTTGTTATTGTTTCTTTATCACTGTACATTTTTCCCTGTTTTTTTCCGCCTTGCACGCTCATACTGTTCATCCTGTCTTCCTTTAGGTTGCCAAATCTATCTGCCTCGAATTCATGTCATTTCAATTTTGACTGTTTACTCTCAAGTAGTCCCATGATGTTAACGCTTGATCATTGTAAATCTTTTTCATTATGTCCTTGTTTCCCTTCTTTTGGATAAAGTCATTATCACCAGGCAATTCATTATGAAAATTTTTTATTACATATGATACGCTATGATCAACGCTTTGTTTTGTTAATATATGTAAATTTCTTTTCACGATTCATCTATATTTTGCTTTTATTAGCATACAATAATGATATTGAACAAGAGTTTACTCATATATTGACAATATTTTATAGTTCCAATCGGTAATATTCTATTCATTCTCATTTGACTATGACGTATAGCACTACTGAATTGTTAAATGTTGTATATCATCTTATCTAAATCTGTATGGAATAAAACCATATTTTTAGTTCTTTATCAATTGGTATGAAATTAGTTCTTTTATTGATTTATCTTACTTTCTATGTAGGAATGAGTGTAAGAAATGGAGAACAGTTCTGATGTTGTTTAATAAGTTCTTATTTTTAATTTCACACTAATTATTGCTCATTCTGTACCACCTGGATGGTCATGTTAATAAAGTCACCTTAAATTTGAACTATCTTATGTCAGTATTTTCTAGTAAACCTAAAACTAATATCATTATACAACCTCTCCCCATTCATATTTAAGACAATCATTATTGATGTGGTTCTTTTTCAGTAAGAAATGTTTAACATGTAATGTATGCTGTGACAAAGTTATCATCTATCAGACTTAAGGTTATTGGTTAGGATCGCTAAACTGTAATCAACATTTGCCTGTATGCTTATGTTCTCGACAACGATTTCTGTTACGTTATTTGAAGCCGTTTCGGGATTCTCACTCATATGGTAGATCGTCTTCTTAAAATAATATATTAAAAGTGAAGGTATTAGGAAATACTGTGTTGTTTACCGTTTCGTTATGTCAAATATATCAAACATATGTTCTAAGCATTACTCCTGAAAGATATTCTGCAGTACAGTTATCAGGTAATTAGTATTCCCATTAACAAAATATATGATGACTTGTTGCACTTGGATGTTTGCGTTCAGATTCCATCATTTTTCGCGAAAAGCATTTTCCAGAAGATACCGGGGATCTAATGTATGCAGTGTTTTCCTGGAATTTCGTTCTCGTATGAATCCTGTACCTTTAACAAATTCGAAATGCAGTCCGATTTCCGAACTTTTTCTTCGGTTGAACTATACATTGCTCAGCGTAATCCTGTACATTCTATACAGTTGGAGTACATAAAAATCTTGATGGGAATTCAGTTTATTAGCTGATAATAACTACTCTCAGAGTAGATCCCTTGAAATTGCGGTCAATTTAATGGTTCATGCTTTTATTTTAGATGTAAGTAAACAAATAAAATTTATTAACTAGCAGAAAACTAGACTCATTTGTAGGTGTAATGTACTATAATCGGCTGCCTCGTAAATCCTATAGCGGCTAACATTTGCACTTTTGACTTGTTCTAGCCAGTGTGAAACACAAGAGTATATTTCAACAACACTAGTTAATGACAAATACTAGCAACCTGCCAATAACCCTTAAGCACATTGCCTGTGTTTGAATCTCTTAGGTAAGATAACTTTGTCTGAAAATAATCAAAAGAGCCATCTCAATTTGTCAAAATTGCAGCAGTCACTAAACCATTCCGGATGAAAAGACTTCAAATAAAAGTGAAGTAATCAATAGGATCGACAACTTTACTTCGTATATTCAAGAGCCCACGGTAATAATGTAAATAATGTAGGGTAATCAGTATTAGACGTTGTTAGAAGACTCCCCCTTCCTTTGATTAGTTGGGTTAATCACTTGTTTCGCTTGAAGCGGAAGTCAAAACGGTTTTATTCCTGTTAGGATATTCATCCTACTGCTCAATTCTATGGTCGTCCTAGATATCAGTGTTACGTCCTCCAATGTTGTTTCTTATTGGTGGTCCTGACTGTCAATGTCACAGACTTCGATGCTGTTTCCTATTCGACCTAAATTTATAAATATGCATCATCTGTAACGTTTTATGACCCGGATCCTTCGTCCGAGATCCTGATTCTCTTCTGGACTTGGACCTCGAACTTTCTGGATGCTTGCAGAATGCACGTTCTACTTCATATCAAGTCTTCTTCCTTTACTCAATCTGGTTTAGGATAATCGGATTAGAGTAGCCTGTAGTGCACCCGGATCCTCGAACCTCGCTCTCGTTTTCCGACTAAGGTAAACTTGTAATAGTTCAAGCACATCGAATGATGTGGTCACGTGTATTCGTAACAATTCCATGGAAAAGAATCCAATGAATTGGTCTATACGAACTCGATTACACCGAAAACATTTTTAGGATTACAAATCACATCAAAGAAACCTTGTATCCTACTTACTATGACAATGAAACTTATTTCCAGATGTTCATCATATGAGCATTTACTCTTCCATTCAAAATAACGATCGTTAATTGACTGATCAGTGCAACTGTTCGTACGAATGTTTAATGTTTTAACCGGGAGATCAACATCAGAACCATCAATTTACCCGGTCACAGTTTCATAAACTGACCATTATTTTTGTGTTCAATGAATTTAAACATAGGATGCAGAAGAACACATAAGAAGCACAAAGCTATTAAATATACTTCGTTGGTTCACCTCAATACCATAAGCTAAGATAATTTATTGAGTATTCCACACACCAAACCTGTCATCCCAGATATAAGACACTAATAAAGACTAGTTTTCTACATAGAAGTAAGTTATGGCGATTGTTCAAAAAGTAAGAAAACAGAGGAAGTGGTCATTTCAAGTGAAAATAAGGCGAGGATTTCTAATACGAAAGGATAACAACATAATCTATATATTAAGCAAATAGATGGCACAATAATGAAGCAGATAATTGGGAATGGACACAAATTGTAAATAAGCGCTTCTTGGTTGGTAATAATAATTACGATATAGCGATATTTGGGACTGAGTATTTTATCGAAAGCATTTAGAACATCACATAAAGTTCTGCTAGTAATCTCTCAATAACAATAATAATGATAATCAATGTCATTTTTGCTCAGTTTAGAGAGATTAAAAACTTTTGTGAAACTTGTATACTTATTTTAGGCAGAATGAAAATATCGTGAGTGCTTAACAGTTACTTGTCCGAGAGTTATACATATTGATATTTTGACAAAGTAAAAGGTCAGCACTAAATATGTATACATATTTCACCACACTTCTGAACTAATGTAATCACAATATGTTAGTTTTCATACAACAGTTTCGTTGTACCACTGTTGCGTGTCTTGTGAAAACAAATGAAAATGCAATCTGAAGAAATTTATGCTACAAAATGTGGCATCAGATAAATTTTGCAGAAATTGGAATGTTAACTACCGATCGTTTTCACATACTTAGTAGATTGAATGAAATATCCTTCAAAATTCTAACAACACCAAACAGTATCAAAGTCAATTAATGTATGCACTGAATTTCCAAATATTATACGCCTTTAGCTACAAAAAATCAATAGACCGGATGACTGATGTATAAAGACTAGCAGTTGTCAGCATCAGTGATGTGATATGCAGACGTTTCAAAGTACATCCAGTATATGTCACTCAATGAAAAATATGTTTCGCATTAAACGAGAAACAAATCATTCTCAGTATCACAAAATGAAATTATGCGTACACTTACTTCATAAGTTTTACATTTTGTCCTCAAGGATTCAATTAGTTCAGTGAAAGATGATGATTCATCTGTCCCACTCTCGAACTTTAATGCATCTGAAGGCTTTAACTTTTCACCGTCATCCAATGATAACGGTAAAGAAGGGTCATCAAAATTGTGTGAATCTAAGCATTCGGGTTTTGAATTTTCCTCAGTACATTCCAATTTGTCGTCCGATATCATTTTATAGTGTGCAGGACCTAATTCATTCAATGGTGAGTTGTTGGTAAATGTAAATCCAATACAAGCAACCTGACATCCTCGAAAGATCGGTCCAAGTGGTGGCGCTTCCTAAAAGCAATTAGCAGATTGATAACGAGATGAGGTCAAAAAGAGGTCATTTTCTTGAGAGCAAACATAATGAACACTGACAAACTACAGGTCATATTGATGGTTTATGTTCCAACAAACCTGAAAGGATGATCCCACAAGATCATATACGATAGCCGATGAAGTGGTTCACACAAATAAGAGGCTTGCGATGAATGCTATAGCAAGGTCTCTAACCATTAGTTACTATCATCTCGCTAACCTTAACTAGGTCGTCTACACCTACCATTACGACTTAATCCAGTTGTCAGTGACTTCACGGATTTGTGCCGTCTTTTGGTCTGGCCACCGCTAGCTTTCCTCCAACCGACTTTTACACTATGGAACATCGCTAGTCGAGGCAGTCGAGTAAAACTAACATATGTCATGAACACCACAACGGATGCAATTTCAATACTTAATCTACTGATGTGCCACCCTTATCTAATGCCGGTTGCCTGGCAACGGCATCGCTTATTCCTTGGTCCTGGGATGTAGAAGCAATACGGACACTGATGACTGAATATCAGTAACCTAAGAATATCCTCGCTTCTTAGTGGTCATGTTTCACACTTGTATAAAAGAGCGGATCGAACTGTTGTGTTGTTGACTCGTCTATCTAATTCACCTACGCCATAAGTGACACAGGCTAATAAAAGTAAATCGTCTTCACACTTAACAAGACCAACTTGTTCATGATTAAATCCCCTCACTTCTTATAACTCTCAGGTCCTCGCACAGCTGCATCAAATAGCATCGCATCTGCTAACAGTTGATATACATGAAATGGTTTTCCTGTTATCCTGAAATCACACTGAGGACTACTTCTCGGAGCTTCTAATGTTTAAACGTTCTGCAAATTCGACAACAGGCATCATCAGAAAGGACCCTAGAGCCTCGTACTTTAGTGTATGTTGCGGCACTGCATTTGAGTACAGTCATTGACTTTAACCCTCCTGATCAGCATAAGGATCTGTCACGATCTACTTTCGTGTGTCTGGAAAGACTGCTGCTGCTTCCCATGCCCTCACTGGTGTTGGTATTGCATCGAGCTCAAGGGTTGAACTATTTCTCCTAGACTGGATCCCAGTAGATTTTAGCTTGTGCACTGACTGATCGGAACAGTAGGAACTCAGAAAAATAGAGATACTCACCGTTGTCTGTGCTGTCAGCACACACGAGGTAAAGGATCAGTTTTACGGAGTGATTCCCTACCTTCTTCAAAAAACTAGGCTCTCTGACGCAGTTTTAGTGGCTTGTGATTTTAACGTTCAAGCAGGTAGACTAGGCGAAACGGAAAGGCACTTGGAATGACCTTATGGTGTCGTGGCTCAATGAACAGATAAAGTCGACCGTCTGTTGCAACAAAGTACATGTAACCGCCTATTCCTGGTAAACACTAAGTTTAAGCAAAAAGAAAAATATTTTTTGACGTGGAAACCCTCAAAGTCAACTCAACGCTGGACACAACTAGATCACATCGCTATAAGCCACCGATGGAGGGGCACGATAAAAGGCTGTCACTCTTTCTGGAGCACAAACTTAGATTCAGAACATGCTCTAGTAAAAACACACTTATCTGTTGTTTACAGGACGCATAAAAGTCACCGCAGTACATTTGGAATGTTTTTTAGGATTTGATTGCATTAGCGACCTAACTACTGACAGGGATTGAGTTACTTGAGCGTACTGACAGTCTCGCTGATCTTGGAATTCCCAGACTTTTCAGAGACGGTAATTATCAATTCTGCTGTTAGGGTGTACTGAGTCATTCAATGTCTAGCTCACATGACTTTTCCCAATTGTTTTTGTTACCCTGTCACTAATTCGTCGCTTGTATTCATGTTTGTGCATGCCTACTTGCTTACGTGTCTGTCTTATTTTTGTCTGACTATAAATTCCTAGTCATGCTTCATCTCCTGGAATTGGCTCACTAGCCTTCTCCACATCGCTTCATCCATTCAACCGCCTATTCAATCGCTTGCCAGCTCTCCGGCGCTCGCATGACGATTTTATCATATAGCGCTTGTAGTCTGCTGTCCTATTTGTGGTGTGTCAAAAGTGAACACATTCAAAACTTTGTGTTCATCTTCTGATTTATAAACCGTTAGTTAGTAAAGATCGTCTGAACGTGCTAATCACGAACATTAGGAACACGCCGAAATAGGCCACCACAAGGGAGACCATCGAGAGAAGACAGTAACATCATTCACTCTTATTCCAGGAGACTATGTCGATAAACAAAACACGTGGGGAAACAATTCAACTATCTTTCAGAAATAACCAAGCTGTCCATCAATTTTGAACGCCTATCCTGAACGAGTGGCAGCAACCTCATCAGTGAACGCACAAAGTAGAAGCTGAGTTTTGACTGGAAAAAAGTTCGTTTATATTAACACAGGTCGACCGTCTTACTCTCTTTATTGCAGAAACTGAATCAAATACCGTCACTATGAAATCTAAATATTAATCTGTAGGTCAATGAGACGGTGACAGTATTTCAAAAATGACCTTGACCGGAGTTATCTATTTAGAAGAGGCTGCATACGCTCACTCGATTTTGAACAGTAAACTTTCAAAGTACTGTGATGGGTGTTTAAGTAGTGTCTCTAATCTTCGCTCATGCTCCTCTTGTAAATTGATGATGTATTGTTCTCGCGACTGTCAACGCCGTATGTGGCATGTGCATAAACTAGAATGTAAACAGTACACTAAATGCAGACGCTTACCAATAGCCCATGTCCGTCTTATTTTGAGGATCATCTGTATCAAGGTTCGTTTATATTACGCTTATTATTTTGTTGGAAGGACATGAAGGACTACATTGATTCTCTTGTCTCACGTAAATACTCGTACATATTAATGTTTCTTCTAGATGAAAACGAGATACTTAGTAATTCTGATCTTATGGAAAAGTATCACACAATGAGACTAACTCTTCAGGATTTTTTGGACGGGGAAATACCTGTAAATGAGGAAACTATTTTCCAAACCTTTTGTAGAGTAAGTTACGTCTCATTTAATCACTCTTCAAAGATTCAGATTAATAGCTTCATGTATACTGATCAGGATGGTGTGGATGTTGGACCTGCTCTTTTTCTTAGGTTAGTTTTCAGTCTTAATTCTGTTATAAATAGAACTGCTCGTCTTGATCATTCTTGTGTTCCTGACATGCACTATGTATTTTGGAATCGTCGAATTGTTTTGTGTAAATACAGTTCATCCACATGTTCATTATTAGTAAGTATTAATGTTGCGTAAAGTCACATAACTTTACTCATATTTCCAACTGCGAACTCTCGCCAAAACCCGATAAAACTGACTAAATACATGGCTCCTAAAAAGAAACTTCATGAGTTCCATTTTGGTCGTTGTTAACAGTGTTTTAAAGTCACATTATACGAAGTCGATCTCCAAAATTATAGTTATTTCATAAACTTTACGAGTTGTTACTTCATGCCGATTCTACCTGTGTGGAAAAAGTCGATTATTACTATCTATAACTTGAGGTTCTACTCCTTACGTTTTTGTATAAAAATGGGTCAAAAAACTAGTGAGGTATAAGCAGACCAATGATAAATTAAATGATATCAAACTCTGAGAATGTAGTCAATCAGTCAGCAACAACGTAGAACTTCGTACGCATGTACATACATCAGTTCAAGTTACCATGCCATATTAGTACAAAGATGCAATCGTCTATTCAAATCTCACAATGGTGGATGCAGTATAATTATTAGTAGTAGTGGAGATTAGGGTTCAACGAAAATGCAGTGCATTGGTACAATATCATTGCTTGTTGGATAACTGAATCATCCTTCGACATTTATTCCTCATAGACACAAAAATAGATCTTGTGACTAACGTTTCCGTAAAACAGTTGGGGTTACTTCTTGTTGCCAAACTATTTTCATCAGAATATCTATGAAAAAGCCTGTATTTCCTTATTTTCAAATACTCATTGTCCATGTTCTGTTTTTTACAGCCCCATATTAGTTACTGTGATTGTATGGCAACCACTGAAGAAAGACGAACTTATCTGTTGAAAAACTATTACTTTGAATGTAAATGTAGTTTATGTGTAGACGCCAACCGTGTAAGTTCACTTTATGTCGGCTTATTATGCTACTCAGTATGCTAGTCGATTTTCGTTAAGTTATTCGACATTATTTATTTTGTATATGTTATTGTCGATATGGTTTGTAAGGCCCTCAGTAAATTTTGCGCAAGTTTTCACCCAAGTGAATAGCTTTTCTTTTTAAAAAATAGAGTATTTGGGTATTTAACTAAATGAAAGAGCAAATTCGAGAAAATCAGGCTGATTTCAGATATAGAGGTGGATGAATATACAAAATATTCTCATCTCAGCTGGTCCTAGAACGTAGACACACATGACGTCCGACAGTAGTTTTGTTCCTTGACCTTAAGGCGGCGTTCGACTCAGTTGGTCGTAAGGTTCTGTAACAAAGTTTCATTCAAAGGTATACCAAACAAGTAAATTAACCTTGTACATACTCTGCACTCGAACACTTATTTGAGTTGGACCTTATGAAGAACTGTCGTCAGAATTCATCACGTTATCCGGGCTGGCCACTTTGCTTTTTGGGTTAACAGTTTCGTCGTCTGAATTTTCAGAAGTTGACCTTCTAGTAGGAGGTTCACTTTTTGACTTAGAATCTGCTGATGACATAGTTTCTACTTGGTGAAGACGCTGACAAAGTGCAGTCTTCTGACCACCTTAAACAACAATTCAACTTTGTTCGGAATGCGACTCTTCCCGTCGGCATGGAAGGTGTTGCTCCAGGATTGACTTGCATTGGCACCTGAACTATTGATAGGGAGTGAAGTAGCTGGGAGTGCTGACTGCCCCAATTACCTTCGAAGTCCCATCAACCCTGATGGCCTGGTGCCAAACGGAATCTCGGCACGGATACAAAAGACTCGACTGGCTTTTGCCAACTTGTATCTCTTGTGGTGTAGGTAAAATATCTGTTTGCCAACCAAAGGGCGAGCCCACTGCCCAGCAGTTCGATCCGTTCTACTATACAGGTGTGAAACATGGCCATTTAGAAGCAAGGATATTCGTCGGTAACTAGTATTTGATCATAGGTATCTTTGAAGCGTTGCTTATATATCCTCGGACCAACGAGTAAACAATATCAGGGTTAGGAAACGGGTACTAGGTAGGGATGGTAAATCAGTAGGTGAAATAGTAAATCTTTATCTCATGTCCCAACTGCCGACCACCCACCGATTAATTATTCTGAAAGTATTTTTACTATTACTTAGTTCTGAGTTTTCAGATAGATATTTCCCTTCACTAACTTGTAGCTCTAAAGAATAACGATTTCAGCAGATATCCTTGATTCGTTTTGCTTCTCTGCGCTTCTATCCACTGTAATATTCCAAAATGACTTACGGAAATGAAATTGGTTAGAAATTAATATGAATACGTTTGGCGAAGACCACAATAAAATTGGCAAGACTGATTAGATCGCTGTGCATACGTATCACAGTGAAAATAAACTTCTAGGATGTCGGCCAGGATAATAGCGAAAGACCGTAAATCTAATGCAGAGCTGTCTGTTCCACTTTAACAAATTAATCTTTCATTTATAATCCATTGTGACTGAAGAACAACTCATCTTTCAGTAATAATTGTCAAATGAAAAACCCATATCATCAAACATCTTTTTTCATTTTATAATTCTATTTGTAGTTTCACCCTCCAAGGACTAGGATCTTAAGTGCTTATTTTATATTATTATGTCTATATTTATTAACTACGACTTACCGATCCCACATATGTCTTCATAAATTATTAGTTATATTTGTTTTCACTTACCTTTTGTAATTTCACTTATTCTGTATTATTACTATTATTATTATTATTATTATTATTATTGTTATTATTACTATTATCTGTGATTAGGAAAAAAGGATTACATCACTCATTTGTTGTTCATCTGACTGTTTAAGTGAACCAATACAGTTTGATAATCTGCCTTCGTCAGTCAAATTGAAGGAATGTAATAATGATAAACTACCAAAATCTATTATGGTCCGTTACTGTTTTGTATGTCTACAAGTCTACGATGATCGACTAATAAATCGAATTGCAAATAATCTATATGGCCAAACTGAAGTCCAACCAGATATTGATACAGGTAAGTTTCCTTTTACATATAATTTCTCACATTTAGACCATTTGTACAATAATTCATGTTAACCAAGATATCTAGTGCATAGATTAGTGTGATGTGTTGTTGCATCGGGTTAACGGTATTTTAGGCTTCTGATTTGTTCATATGCAGACACGAGTAATAACATTGAAGGAGAATCGAAGCAATCAAAATATCTGGTTATTATGGACCTATTAACCCCAGTAACTTCATGTTATCTACTGCAACAATACCAAAGATTAAAGGCAACAACAAATACATTAAGTGAGAGATTAATATTAGTATAATGTTCATCTGTTCCTTCAATATGTCATATAACTACATCGTTAAGCACTAGGGTATTGTTTAAAGTGTTTGATTTTCAACTACTAGAATGTAAGTCCAACGCACCTTCAACTACATCTGTTCTAGGTGGTCAATTATATTAATAATCCTTACAAAAACAATGTGATTGAAAGCTGAATACATAGAATTGTCAATCAACAAAAGTGCTTCGTTCCATATTATCATTTTATATGTAACTACATACTAATGATCAATTATACGTTTAGATTTTACAGACATCAATTAGTTTCAAACACCCTTTGTAGGTTTTCAAATTGTTGTTTTTGTCTTTTGTTCACAATTCCATCTAATAGTCTTATTTATATCACTTGTGAACTATAAATTTTTATGGATTAATTTGATTTTAGAAGAGTTTTTTAATAGGTGAATGATGTAGTATTGTTTGATAAATTGCATCTTTCATTCTAAAATTATTTACTCTAATTGTACTTGGAATAATTTCAATTTTTTTTTTAATTATCTCTTACAGCTCTAGATGCGTTAATCATGTACTTACGTTGTTGTCAAATTAATGAACCTACACAAAATATCCAATTGTCATCAGTTAAGGATATACAATTTGAAGAGTCTCGTCCTTATTATAAATTATTTGGTCATAAAGACAGTTTACACTTAGCACGATGTTGTTCTCGAATTCAATTTATGCATACAATACCAATAGATTCATTATTGAATAATATAAATAGTCGTCAGCAATATAATGAAAAGAATTTCAAAGTTACTAAAGATTCTCTTGTAAATATTATAATTGCTAGCAGTTTGAATGAATTCTACTGGAGAACTACTTGGCTATTGTCAGATTATTTACCACTTGGTCGACTGGTTTATTCAATTGTCTCTTTCCTATTACTGCATATAAATGATACTAGTGAATTTTACAATTGTAACCGAATGAATGAAATCAAAAACTATCTGATGCCTCCATACAATAAAAACATTAATTTAAATTGTCTAGGCCGTGTTCTGTGTAAATTTTCAAAGATAGCATATGATGTATTAAGTCCTCTAGCTCCTTATCATCCTAATTGGCAAAATGGTCTAAGCATAATCGAGTATTATAAAGCTCAAGATATTGAAGATGATGGTATTGATAATAATCATTTGTAATTAATGTAATTTAACAAAGTTTATTGTGAATAATTTGGCTGCTCTAATTCTCTGTGTACAAACTCTATAAAGTGCTTTTTAATCTTAAGTAAACGATTTAATTCTTTCGGTATACAATTTATTTTGTAAAACTATGTACTTACTTGAATTATATTTTCTTCAGATAGATTGGACAACAACTAGTGACTATTGTTCTCTTTGTCAAGATAGTAAGATCTGTTAATTTACAACAGTTTAAACAAATCCAGAAATATCATGTTTTTATGTTGGAGTACGCTTAACATTTAACATTTAAACAAACTCATCCATAAAGTATTTCGGTATAAGTCACACTCTAAATGTGAAGGTTAATTATCCTAATCAGTTGCTCAAAACGTAGTAGATTGGGCAGAGTTGAGACCTGGCGGTAATAGTGGGACGCCTTAACCTCCATTTACAAAACTATAAAGTATGTCAATTACTGTTTCTTCATTATTTCTAGACAAAACGGTTCCTATGGTACTAATAGAAAGCAGTTAACACTCTTATCCTCACATTGATGTAGATTGGTACATTACAACTGTTAATAAAACTAACTAGTGGTAGATATAATCAGACACAATTTCATTAGCTCAGAAAATCAAAAAGCCTTCTCAATAGTCTTCTATTATAAAATAGCTTAAGCTTTACAGGGTTCAAGCCATCACTCTAATACTACTGTGAATTTGACTTGTCAAACTTTGAGAGTCATGACAGCTCGAAAAACTTGTAAACAATTTCGTTGATGATAGATATAAGTGGATTTCAAATAACCAAGCATGAGATAGGTATTTTGCTATCGCTTAATGAATGTTGCATTACGCAGTCTAGAATTGAAAATCAACAGCAACTTAGAACTTCGTACGTAAGTACATCAGTCCAAGTTGCCATACCACATTAGCACAGAGATGTAATTGTAAATTCAAATCCCATAGTAGTAGAGGTAGTAAAAGTATTAGCAATAATCGGAGAGATTAGGCTTCGAAGATATCATTCAAGAAGTATAATCTAGTGAAACAAACTTAAAAAGAAACAGATAAAGGTGATGAGGAATTCAGAAGGTTAGAATCTCATAGAACACAAAGAGTAAATGCACCTTCACCATTGCAAACGGTTTTGAGCCATGTCATTCAAGGTCTCTAACCATCGATTACTATCATCTCGCGGACCCCAACCAGGTAGTCGACACTATTAGGTCCCACTGCTCTCCATCTCTTCAGATTTTCTGTCGCTTTCTCAACTTTAAAGAGTCGGAGGACTTACGTCGATTTGCCACTTAGGTGTACTGGAGATTGTAGGCAACGGAAGTGTGTCTGAAGCCCACTTGAAATGATCCCTAGAGTGTATAACCTATCAATACAATCTCGTGGGTGGAGAATGAAACATGCAACCGTCCTTTTCTGCGAAAGTTCCCCTAACAGATAGATTTCTAATACCGGTTTTCTTGATAAGTTGGAACAACCTTCTACTGATACCTATCGCCGCTACCATTTCCATATGTCTCGCTTTCGCGACACACCACTGTTCATGAATATTGCGCAGGCTTTTCATCAGCCTGCGCCTAAGCTAACG